AAGTCGCCTCTTACAACAAGCATGGGTTGCTGAAGAAGAATTCTAGCCAGATCTTCACGGGCATCTGTTTAGGTAATTTACAACAAATGGAATTGATGAAGGTGTGAATATGAAAGGTCAGGTTGCTACTACAAACAAGGTGTCATCTTTGTTGGTTTATGTTCTTTTCCCCATTTTAAATTCAGAGATATAATAGTCACATATCCAGGCCTACCAAAGAAAACTTTCCCACTCTGCAGAAAACCCCACATTAATCGTGGAAATAGCAACATAAATACATTACCTCACTACTGAAACAGTAAAAACGGCAACAAACTATGAAGCATTTTTATATCAGCGAACTTTGACCTCTACTGCGCATGACCATCCAGGCTTCTTTCCAATTTCCGAGCAACCGTGAATCGCTTGGCGTAGAAAAAGTATTCAATATATTGAAATAATTGCTGTCAATCGTTTCATAAGAATGGAAAGTAAAGTAAACAAGTGTGCACACAAGTATCATGATGATAAATGCCAAATAACATAACAGAAATATTTAAAAAGGAATGTAACTTTTGTCCAAGCTGGAAAATGTCAACATGTGGTCGAGACTTCCTCTTCCATGTGCGCATGCGCAAAATCGAAGTTGTGGGCTCCTTGTTTTATGATGCAGTCTTAGCGATTTAAAGTTGCCGTTTTTAATGTTTCAGTAGCGAGGTATTATGTTTATGTTGCTATTTCCACGATTAATGTGGGCTTTTCTGCATTTTTCTGCACAGTGGGAAAGTTTTCATTGGTAGGCCTGATATCAGGAAAACTTGCAGTGTTTAGATAATATTCATGAGAGAAGGAAACATTTTTGCAATTTAAGGACATTATCTGAGGTTATCACCCTTGTGTTTGATGGTAAATATAATGTATTGGGAATCAAAGTAGTCAAAACCTCTTATTCACCCAGCAATACTATGACAGATATTAGTGGAAACATATTTTATTCAAAATAAATTGAACTTGGATTGGTAAATAAGCCGTAATGGCTTATTTGAATACCTCTCCATTTCATTGATACATGAATAAAACAAATATTAAATAATATGCAGCATGATAGGAAAGCAAGCAACCTGAGTATTAAACATTATTAATCAGTTATCAAACCTATGCGATTTTATTATAAAAGTATGGACAGATTGTAGTATGAAAGAATTTACAAGTTCATTTTTGTTTGGATTACCATATGACAGATATTGTTTCCTGCTGTAAATTTGGTTTTCATCCATCTATTCAAATGAAGCAGCCAATATAGACATCATGATTAAACGCCTATCCAAATTAATATCTAAGTCTAACATTGAAAAATTAGTCATAATATTAGTTTCTACTGTTACACTGCACCATGTTATTACAAGGATTGTGAGGACCTGTTCAGGTGAGGTCCTGCAGGTGTTGTACAATCAATATATACAGACAGCGCTTCAGGCAATAAACACTGCTGGTGAACGTTGGTACAAGTTACATTTCATTCATGGGAGACGGATAGTAACAAAACCATGACAGTGCATACATACGGCAGATATCAATTTGATTGTAGTCACTGTCATGATATAGTGCATATATGTTGGATGTAATAAACAACTATCTCCTCTCACTGTAATGTCTGTGCAGATGGAGGATGTTGAGCAACATGGAAACACAGTGTGTACCTTCGGCATAATATGTTATCAGTGTTCTTGCCAAAAATAATTGGTTGAATTACATTAAGTTCATGGTTTATGATCTTAAAGGTCACATGCAACCAAAAAATCAAACATAATTAAAACACAATTATCACTCCTTCATGACATATAATATGCATTGCTGATTATGAAAAAACAAATAAACAATATTATAAGCGTACAATCGCAAATCAAAAGTGCAATATTTTGTTCTTGGGTTTACCTCCCTCGAAACGAAGCAGCCGGGATACCGAACCCAGTCAGAGCGGGTGGGTGTGCACTCAAGTGTAACGGCTGGTTCATTAGCAGATGCCGCCTTCACGGGTCATTGTGTGTGTATATATAGAAAGTTGGGTTTTGTAAATACATGCTCATTTTTTGTGTATAACATTTTGCAATCAACAGACATCATAACATGTCATGTGTTCAAGTATCACACCTGACATCATAACATGTCATGTGTTCAAGTATCACACCTGCCTGTCTGTGTAATTACATAATGTGACAGAGACCAAACTCGGGCCATAAATCAATGCGTTTTGTTTATGGTGTATAGCCTGATTGGTGTTAAGTTCAAATTGCATGTGGTCAGTGATCGCAGTTGTGTATTGAATATTGTCATTAGCAGACAGGCAGGCAGACACACTGGTGTCAATAAAACAAGACATTGAGTTTTGTCTGTGACAGCGACATATCTATATCACAGTTAGAAATCGTGTCAACTCTAAATAATGCTTTTAAGTATCGAACTGAGAAAGTGACTCGGTAAGAAGAGCGTGTGGTGAAATAGACAAATGAAATTATATAAACAGTTTATTTACTGTCATAACATACAAAAGCTCGCCTGTGAGGATATCAACAAAACATTAGGAAACTAGCTCACACCAAAGCCTTCACAGAGTATTCACCAGACAGCCCGCTTCCAAGTTCGCGTGAACCTATTTCACTGCGCGCACGTGCTATGGCGCAGCCAGCTGTTGAAACCCGTATTCCCCAGAAAAGTCTGTGGAAAATTAGTGAAACGTTTGAACTCCGATTTCGAGCGTTTTTTTTCATCGCGTTATTTTTCAACTTTATAAGTTGAATTTGCATTTTTGACGCTTTGTTTCGGTAAGTCCATACCGAAAGGTATCAGAATCTGCAAAGTTGTGTTTTACGTTGCATGTGACCTTTAAGCTAATGAGACATTGTGAGATAATCCTTCAGTACATGGTCAGACAAGGGTCGATGGCAATTCCAGTTGCCAAATATCCAAACAAAGCTATGGCGGCAAGTAGGTCAATCAAAGGTTGGACATGTAAGAGATTATGCCTGATATTGGAAAAGGGGATAATTGTGTCTAGAAATTCCATCCTGAACAAACCAACACTGATTATCTCTGAATAATTCCATGTAATGTGCATAGTTGTATTGTGGTTGATTGGAACACAGCTGTACCATTTAATGTGAACATAGTGGTACTATCATGTTTGATATGAACATAGTCATGGTGTGCTTGATACAAACTTGATACAAACATAATTGCACTTATTTTCATTTGATGTGAACATAGTTGTACTGTATAATCTCCAAATAGTGGTACTATTATGCTTGATATGAACATAGTCATGGTGTGCTTGATACGAACTTGATACAAACATAATGCACTTATTTTCATTTGATGTGAACATAGTTGTACTGTATAATCTCCAAATAGTGGTACTATTATGCTTGATATGAACATAGTCATGGTGTGCTTGATACGAACTTGATACAAACATAATGCACTTATTTCCATTTGATGTGAACATAGTTGTATTGTGCATGGTATTGTGGTTGATGTGAACACGGATGTACTACTGCATTTGTTGTACTTTGTGTTTTACTTTTGTGGTTGATATGAACAAAGTTGTACTCTAGTGTTTTGATAAGAACTAGTTGTGACACTGTGATAGTGTGATTGATGATATGAACAAAGTTGTACTCTAGTGTTTTGATAAGAACTAGTTGTGACACTGTGATAGTGTGATTGATGATATGAACAAAGTTGTACTCTAGTGTTTTGATAAGAACTAGTTGTGACACTGTGATAGTGTGATTGATGATGTGAACAAAGTTGTACTCTAGTGTTTTGATAAGAACTAGTTGTGACACTGTGATAGTGTGATTGATGATATGAACAAAGTTGTACTCTAGTGTTTTGATAAGAACTAGTTGTGACACTGTGATAGTGTGATTGATGATGTGAACAAAGTTGTACTCTAGTGTTTTGATAAGAACTAGTTGTGACACTGTGATCGCTGTGATTGATGATATGAACAAAGTTGTACTCTAGTGTTTTGATAAGAACTAGTTGTGACACTGTGATAGTGTGATTGATGATGTGAACAAAGTTGTACTCTAGTGTTTTGATAAGAACTAGTTGTGACACTGTGATAGTGTGATTGATGATATGAACAAAGTTGTACTCTAGTGTTTTGATAAGAACTAGTTGTGACACTGTGATAGTGTGATTGATGATGTGAACAAAGTTGTACTCTAGTGTTTTGATAAGAACTAGTTGTGACACTGTGATAGTGTGATTGATGATGAACAAAGTTGTACTCTAGTGTTTTGATAAGAACTAGTTGTGACACTGTGATAGTGTGATTGATGATGTGAACAAAGTTGTACTCTAGTGTTTTGATAAGAACTAGTTGTGACACTGTGATAGTGTGATTGATGATATGAACAAAGTTGTACTCTAGTGTTTTGATAAGAAAGAGTTGTGACACTGTGATAGTGTGATTGATGATGTGAACAAAGTTGTACTCTAGTGTTTTGATAAGAACTAGTTGTAACACTGTGATAGTGTGATTGATGATATGAACAAAGTTGTACTCTAGTGTTTTGATAAGAACTAGTTGTGACACTGTGATAGTGTGATTGATGATGTGAACAAAGTTGTACTCTAGTGTTTTGATAAGAACTAGTTGTGACACTGTGATAGTGTGATTGATGATGTGAACAAAGTTGTACTCTAGTGTTTTGATAAGAACTAGTTGTGACACTGTGATAGTGTGATTGATGATATGAACAAAGTTGTACTCTAGTGTTTTGATAAGAACTAGTTGTGACACTGTGATAGTGTGATTGATGATGTGAACAAAGTTGTACTCTAGTGTTTTGATAAGAACTAGTTGTGACACTGTGATAGTGTGATTGATGATATGAACAAAGTTGTACTCTAGTGTTTTGATAAGAACTAGTTGTGACACTGTCATAGTGTGATTGATGATGTGAACAAAGTTGTTCGTGACCATTTTTTTCCTCTGTGGATGCATTACTTACGTCAGGATGTGCTGTCAGGGATTCATGATGCTCAGAGCTGTGACTTGCAGATCTCCGAGCACGCCCAGGAATCTCAAACAAATAGTGATCAGCTAGGCTTCCCAACTGAAACAAACATAGCAAACAGTCACATACCAACAGAAAATTCAGGTTACAAAGGACACTTGAATAAGGGTTATAAGAGCAATTTTACAAAACATTTATCAGCCTTTGCCTTCAATTGAACCTACATGATTGCAACATCAAACAATGACTCACATACTACAAACAAGGAGAGTTTTGAATCTTGTCCATTTCAGGGAAAATCATTGGCACAAGTGTAAACATTCAGGTCAAGAGAATAGTATGACAGTCCATAAGAGCAAAATGTTGTCATATTTCTGTAAACAGAACAACAAAACCCTTTTCCACATCCACAAGAAATCTCTGCTATAAGCAGAGTGTACAATTGTGACAAAATCCTGAGTATATATTAACTTCAGCAGTATTAGAGCTGTACAATGTTGTTTTCAAACAAATCAAATCTCAACCAGACAATCCAGTGATTGTCACCATGCAATCTGGATCAGAAACATCAGAAGTTCAAAGTATGAGCATGAAACCCAAGGAAAAGTGTGTAACTGAAATTCCCTAGTAACCAAACACCATTCATTATCAATAGTCATTGTGACCATTTGATAACCACGGAAGTTAGCTCTGAAAAGCACTTACTATTGGTGAATACTGTGACAAGCATACGAACAACAATGGAACCCATCAGATGTGATCAAGTGAGTGAGTGAGTGAGTTTAGTTTTATGCCGCACTCAGCAATATTCCAGCTATATGGCAGAGGTCTGCAAATTACAAATCTGGACCAGACAATCCAGTGATCAACAACATGAGCATCGATCTACGCAATTGGGAACCGATGACATGTGTCAACCAAGTCAGGGAGCCTGACCACCCGATCCCGCAGATGTGATCAAAATAATGTTAGTTAAGAGATGGTACATGCTTGGGTTGCAATGCCTGGTCAGATTTGTTACACAATGAAAGCTATAGGTATTATGAAAACAACCTCTGTATGTCCCTTGTCCCCAAGCCTTTATCAATCTATCATTAGGATGTTTCAAAGATAAAATGTTCAGCATTACAGCTTCAGGGGAAGCATGTGCAATAACATCTAAAACATAACATATAATGCATCCATCTTATGATCTGACAGCTTGATTAGCACTGAATCAAAATTTAATACCACCACCAGGCACAGAGGCGTTGTTCATTTTTACAATGAACAGGCTTTCACCAACATTCTGAGCTCAATACTGAAATACCGTATTTCTTCAGTAAAGTGCCCCACTTCTTTTGCGTAAAACATAGCTATGTAGAGGGGTGTGCACATTATACATGTCATAATAATGATTGCAGTTTTTATCCCAAAAGACAATCATTACCTTGAACAGGTAACACTGTAAACACATTGTCAAAACATAGAAAATTACACACGCAATTTAATTATGTAATTACACTATCTGGTTACAAAAAGTGTTCACCATATAACTAGACTTAGGGGCGGTTCATAATTTATGGCTTGGGGGATAATGATGATGATTTTTATGGAGAAGCATGTACAATGTGAATGACACCCCCTAAAATTTATGTACAAAGTAAGTGACCCCCTGCATGTCATGTACAAAATTGCTGACCCACCCCTAGTACATATGTACAAAGTTGACAACCCCAACCCCACTACCTACCCAGCACAAAATGGGTGACCCCCCATTAAAATCATCATCACATCCCCTTGCCATAAATTATGAACGGTCCCTTGTGTTTTGGATGTTTTATAAATTTTATTCAAGTTTTCATTTAATATTGTTTACAGTAAATACACTGAAACTGTGTCAAGTCATTGGCAGCGTTCCAACTCACCTATATTCACAACAATCATCATTAGATTATACTTGGCTGTGCACAATATTCAGAAAATACGGTGCATTTCATATGCAAACATAAAAGTGCTCTTACTCATAAATACAGCACTTTGATGTAACGCTGAGCAAAAAAGTGACTCAGTCAAAAACCTATTCATCTGAATAAAAACTGTCTTGCTTTCACATGGTTTGACACAGTAGTCTGTGTATACAAAGCCCTTCTGATCCATCAGAGGCATAAACTCCCTTTCACCATATTGATGTGGAGAAAGAGCTAAGGGGGCTGTTTGTTCAGCTATCAGCTGTTCTTGGGCTGTATTGACTAAATGTCAGACTCATACATGATCTGCATCCAATACATTGCAACATACAGGGTAAAACACACTGGGAAACTTGCACATGAAAAACAAGAGCCAAGGTACATGACAAAACACATGGCATTTCATCCTACATGGTAGAGAGTCATGGTAACCCACGTGGAAGACACATTAAAACAAAGGCTGTGATTCCAACACACTTGCCAGTACAAGGTAATATATGTATGCCAGCCACATATGACATCACATATGGCAGACACATTGCCAGATGCACATGGCTTTTCATATGGCACTAAGTCACTACAAAAACACAAGGAAGACATATGTGGCATTGCATATGGCAGACATATTTCATTAGACATGGCACATGACACATTTCATAACACATGGCAGACACATATTCAAACACACATGGCAGACACATTTTCCAACACACATGGCAGACACACTGCTTCACACATGGCAGACACATATTCCAATGCACATGGCTAACACATATTCCAACGCACATGGCAGACACATTTCATTAGACATAGCAGACACACTGCTTTACACATGGCAGACACATATTCCAACGCACATGGCAGACACATATTCAAACGCACATGGCAAACACATATTCCAACGCACACAGCAGACACATTTCATTAGACATAGCAGACACACTGCTTTACACATGGCAGACACATATTCCAACGCACATGGCAGACACATATTACAATGCACATGGCAGACACATATTCAAACGCACATGGCAAACACATATTCCAACGCACACAGCAGACACATTTCATTAGACATAGCAGACACACTGCTTTACACATGGCAGACACATATTCCAACGCACATGGCAGACACATATTCCAACACACATGGCAGACACATATTCAAACGCACATGGCAAACACATATTCCAACGCACACAGCAGACACATTTCATTAGACATAGCAGACACATATCCAACGCACATGGCAGACACATATTGCAAACACACATGGTAGACACACTGCTTCACACATTGCAGACACATATTCCAATGTACATGGTAGACACATTTCATGACACATATTGCAAACACACATGGCAGACACACTGCTTCTCACACTGCAGACACATATTCCAATGCACATGGCAGACATATTTCATTAGACACAGCAGATACATATTGCAAACACACATGGCCAACATATATTCCAACGCACATGGCAGATACATTTCATTACACATGGCCAACACATATTGCAGACAACACATGGCGGACACACTGCTTCACACATGGCAGACACATATTGCAGACAACACACATGGCTGACACATATTCCAACACACATGGCGGACACACTGCTTCACACATGGCAGACACATATTGCAGACAACACACATGGCTGACACATATTCCAACACACATGGCAGACACACTGCTTCACACATGGCAGACACATATTGCATCATATATGGTAGATACACCAGAAACATGTTGAATGTCGGAGTTGCCTAACCAATCATATGAGCACAAGGTATCAAATTACAAACATACACAAAATCTTTATATCAATGCATCAAGACACATCGGGAAGAAACATAATTAACTGTCCGTGTTGCATGTATTTATGTGTGCCCTAAACCGTGCTGACGTCACATCATAACACCTAAGTTACATGTGTGCTCTTTGTTGGACACGTAAAGGTGGGCAGTTATCAGAAACAACTCTTCCTTATCCATGGTGTCAATGTGCGGAGTGATTATGGTGTGGGTGAAACTGTTATTATTAATTATGAGCAGGGATTTACCGGGTATTTTGCAGGGGTCACAGCCTATGATTGCAGGAATGCCAGGCTACAAAGATACCCAATTTTCTCCGTGAGTGTGGGAGGGAGCACAGATGTTGGTTCTGAGTGTAAATGTGCTAATAGGGGATATTGGGTTGTAGACGGTGTTGTGGGTAGGTGAAGTTGTGGGTGGCTGTTGATTCAGATGTGGGTCACAGTTGTTGTTTCAGGTATTCAGATGACTGAAGTGACCATAGAGACAAAACTGGATCTACTTGGAAAAATAACTCAAAAGGTTCCATTCCTGTTGACACCTTGGTCTGACCACCAGTCAGAAAGTTACATGTACCAGGTCCCCGCTCCACACAGCAATCACAGCACTATGTCTAGTAGAACTCCCATAGTTTAACACAGATTGTGCAACGATCATGACACTTCGTGGACAGTACTCCAGTCTGGGTTTTACCAAGACTCACAAAAGTGGGGGTCCAATGGGATCCCCCATCAACAAATGTTACGGGCCCATGCTGCCTGAGGGTCCAGTGAAGTATGGAAATGGTGTAGTGCAGTGTACATTCAGATAGTTACACCAGCCCTTAAACCACTACACCACAGAGGCGGTCGGCAATATATGTCCTGTGCAATGCTACTTTGACATGTTTGAAGAAAACCAATCTGATGCCACCAGCAAAGTTAATAACAAAGACACATATGTACCTCTGGTAGACAATAATGTGAGCAAGTGGGTGACTTTAGTTTTGTGCCGCTTTTAGCAATATTCAAGCAATGGGCTTCACACATTGTACCCATGTGGGGAATCGAACCCCAGTCTTGGACATTGGCGAGCAAACACTTTAACCACTAGGCTACTCCACCGCCCCAACAATAATAGGGGGATACAGTTCTTGCTTGCAAAAATACAACTTTAAACACAGAAAGGCCCATGCCTCGACCTACATCAAATGTTAGGTGTAATTAAAATAAACATTAAACTTAGAAAGTAGATGCTAAAACTCAATAAATCAATGCAAACATAGAAGCCATGTATTTTTATATGTCTGCCATGGGGGCAATTAAGAAAACCGACTGAGTAATGACATCACATAAAATTGGATTTAAATTCTATGGCCATGTTTTAATGCTACTACAGACGGAATCCTTCACACAGGGGTTTAGCTTAATGAGCTTTGTGATTCACACACAGGAAGATGTTCTCGACAACAGTACAACCGACACTATTCACGTTCATAAGCTTAAGCTGACCTCCGGCTATGTCACTGCATGTTAAGATGAAAATATGTCTCACATTGCATTGAAATATTTTCAACATGAAAGTGCAAACAGTTTTTTAATAGTATCTCATTTCTAGCCACAATCATAATTTAATAAAGTTTCAGTGCAGAAAAAACGAATGGATTGGAAGAAATATGAAACAATGTTGTTTGCCGCATGTTTGTTTGTTTTTCATTATATATATATTGACTCTTTTTACACTTGTATTTTTTAAATGTAACACGAGGCTGTCTGAATTGTGCAAAGGAAACATGACAATAGCCAGATTCATTGTATGTTTACATACAGAAAAGATCAAAACATAAAAATCCTGTCAAGTTTCCCATGAAGGTCCGGGTTAGAATATTGATCTTCAATAACCCATGCTTGTCATAAGAGGCAACTAACGGGATCGGGTGGTCTGGCTCACTGACATGGTTGACACATGTCGTTGCTTCCCAATTGCGCAGATCGATGCTCATGCTGTTGATCACTGCATTGTCTGGTCCAGACTCAATTATTTATAGACCACCGCCACATAGCTGGAATATAGCTGAGTGCGGCGTAAAACTAAACTCACTCACTCCTGTCAAGTGCTGGCATGGCACATCTCAGCCAACCTAGATTCGTCTGTTTATGTCAGAAGATCATACACGATATTATTCCCAAGCGATAACTCATGGCACAGCAATGCAGCAACTGACCCAGAGAGTACTACCTACAATATATAGCACTCCAATCCTGATACCATGACAGATAACTACAGTAATGTGAGAGAATATAGGTGGTATGGTAAAACTCTTGTCTGACCTTGACATTGTGTTTTTCTGACTTGTAACTTTCCCAAATAATGATTTGGGCATGGAATGAGATACTCTTCGGAAACTCTAGTCCTCAGATGTTTTGAGACTGCAGTTTCATGATAAAACTAATTGCAATTCAATGTGAGATTATGTTGTGATGACTGTAACCTGATATAGTTTAACAGGTTAAAAGAACATGGTCATTGCTATTAAAGAGTTTACAACATATACTAAGACAAACATACAGGCTTTGCAAAGACCCAAAACATTCATGTAAAACTGAAGATTTTATCCTTTATCACTGAGCCTTATCCTTTATTATGTTTATATCACACACTGATTAACTTCTCTCTTACTGTTCATGAATACCCCAATTCAGTTTCCAATATTCCAATGACTTCATTTCCTTCAGATTACACATCACTCGCCACAAGATCACTTATGCTACACTGTGGAGGCCCTTTGAACAAGATTACAGTAATTCTAGATAATATGATTTTGATTACAACAAAGTATTCATACCTTTGGTTTTATCTGGTCCACAGGAGAGCATTACACATGTCAAGTAATCTAAGCAAATCAATATTAATTTGTATTAGGTTACAGTCATCACAACACGATAAAAAAAACATCTTAAATGTACAACTACACGAGACCATATCACCCCTGTACTCTCATCATTACACTGGCTTCCAATCAAGTTCCGGATAGACTTCAAACTTCTTTGCATTGTGTATAAATGTTTGCAGAATCAAGCTCCTTCATATCTCTCTGAACTTCTCACTGTGTACCCCCCTACCAGAACTCTCAGATCTCAAGATCAATGTCTTCTCTCCATTCCCAAAGTTCTCCTTTCTTCCTTTGGCAAGAGGTCTTTCCAGTACGCTGGTCCTACTCTGTGGAATTCTCTCCCTCCCCACATAAAGCAGTCTCCCACATTGGAAACTTTCAAAATTAAGTTGAGGACTTTCTATTTTTCCAAAGCCTATCCCTAAAATCAATCTTTCTGTCATCAATTTCAATGTATACTTATTTTACTATTTTATTCTCTGTATGCATTGTATGTATACTTTTATGTAGCACCTTGAGCATGTATCAGTGGGTGGAAAATGGCGCGCTTAAAATATCCATTATTATTACTATTACAATAAAATATGTTCTTTAGAACCCCAGCATTCTAAAAGACACAATGCACAAATGCAGAAAACTATTGTGGACACTAGCATCTCCAGGAGACTTAGTCTGCCTCAGTAATCCAGCCTTCTATTTGTCACTGCCCAGTATTCAGACATCATAAGATGCAGTCAGACGCAGACACATCTCCAGCAGTCAGCGCAAGTCCACAAATCTACAGATGGTCTCCGTGAGGACTTTCAGCCAATTTATTCTGATCATGAAATACTATCAGATAATTAGACGGCCTGACAGCACTGGAGTGTGATGCATACCACCCAGTGTAGGTGATTCCGCATTACTCTCCCAGGGCCCACTGTAGAGAGGGAAGGGAATTGAGTCAACTGTAGTGAGGAAGTGAGTCAAGTCAACTGTAGAAGGGTATCAAGTACTGGAGTGAAGGAAACAAATCCACTGTAGTGAGGGGAGGGAATCAAGTCAACTAGAGTGAGGAAGTGAGTTAAGTCCACTGTAGAGAGGGAGGAAGTCAAGTCCACTGCAGTGAGGGGCGGGAATCAAGTCAACTGTAGTGAGGAAGTGAGTCAAGTCCACTGCAGAGAGGGAGGAAGTTAAGTCCACTGTAGTGAGGAAGTGAGTCAAGTCCACTGCAGCGAGGGAGGAAGTTAAGTCTACTGTAGTGAGGGGAGGGAATCAAGTCCACTGCAGTGAGGGGAGGGAATCAAGTCCACTGTAGTGAGGAAGGGAACCAAGTCCACTGTAGTGAAGGAGGCAGTCAACCCACTGTAGTGAGGAAGGCGGTCAATTCCACTGTAGTGTGGAAGGAAGTCAAGTCCACTGTAGTGAGGAAGGGAACCAAGTCCACTGTAATGTGGAAGGCAGTCAAGTCCACTGTAGTGAGGAAGGTGGTCAAGTCTACTGTAGTGAGGAAGGAAGTCAAGTCCACTGTAGTGAAGGAGGCAGTCAAGTCCACTGTAGTGAAGGAGGCAGTCAAGTCCACTGTAGTGTGGAAAGCAGTCAAGTCCACTGTAGTAAGGAAGGCGGTCGAGTCCACTGTAGTGTGGAAGGGAACCAAGTTCACTGTGGTAAGGAAGGCAGTCAAGTCCCCTACAGTAAGGGAATCAAGTTCACTTTAGTGAAGGAAGGGAATCGAGTCCACAGTAGCGAGGGAAACAAGTCTACTGTAGTGAGGGCAGGGGTTCGAGTCCCCTGTAGTGAGGGAAGACAATCAAGTCCCCTGTAGTGAGGGAACCGAATCAAGTCCACCGTAGCAAGGGAAGAATCTGTACATTACGCTCAGAGCAAGCATATTGGTGTTATTGTCATGCATTTTCCCCCTACAAATAGCAGCTGGCTACAGAAAGCCTGCAACCCAATCGAGGAACAAAACACTCAGGTCACAACATCCATAATACTGGGGATTGACTGAATAACTTGAACTGGTAATAGCCATGAGGAGACCTTAAACGCTCAGCAAATTGGCTGACTTTCTTGGGCTGCCCTAATCTCCAGCCTGCATCAGACTTGTTGTGCTTGTTGTCAACGGTTCTTATGTACATCAAACAGCAAGGTTTTATCAGGGGCTTTGCAATCGGAAACAGTATCACAGGAAACAAGTCCCGTACATTTCCTCTGAACTGTCTGGACGTCTGTTTAAATGAGGGTGTAATTATCTGTTCTGATCAGTCAACATGGTCTGTGATAATAGTTCAAGTACTTCCAGACACCTTACCATGTCTGTGGTAATATGAAACTTACTTAACACTCTTGACAGATGACTAATAATTTATTGATGTAACTTTCTATTTTAAACAGTCACATCTCAAGTTATTTTCTGGAAAAAAAAACAAAAAAACATGTAGCTTGTCTGACCTTACCATATCTGAGGCAATATAATCTTTACTTTAAAATCTTGAAAGATGACTATTAATTTGTTGATGCAACTTTCCATTCTGAGCTGTCACAGTGAGTTTCAGAAGAAAAAACAACAACATAAACATGTAGCTTATGTGATCCATCACACAGAAAATATGAACAAGTGTACAGCAAGGCATATACTGATCAACAGCATCTAACCAACACTGACCAACGCTGCGCATGAATTAACCAACACTGACCAACGATGCGCATGAATTAACCAACACTGACCAACGCTGCGCATGAATTAACCAACACTGACCAACGCTGCGCATGAATTAACCAACACTGACCAACGCTGCGCATGAATTAACCAACACTGACCAACGCTGCGCATGAATTAACCAACACTGACCAACGCTGCGCATGAATTAACCAACACTGACCAACGCTGCGCATGAATTAACCAACACTGACCAACGCTGCGCATGAATCTTGGTCTGGGTTTTGTGTGATGCAGAAATGTGCGTCAAGTATGCACAAAGATGAAGAATGTACTCAAAAAGTATATATAATCCGCCCCAAGGGATGCACAAACATAATCATTGTACAAAATTCGTGACATGAAATGTGAAGTTTTTGTTATAAACGTAATTATTGCATCTCCACAATAATTATTATTACACTGTTTGATTACTTTCAGAACCCTCATATTTTTACTGCTAGTACACTTGAACTTTGTATTTGGTGGTCCTCTGGACCCCTAGTTTTGTTCTGCACAGTAAAACACTGATCAGGTAAAAAAGATGCCATTTTATTTCACTGCGACATATCATGCATCTACATCCTGATTTACTAGTTCATGAACCATGATGGGATTCCGGGTTACAACTGTTTGGCAGCCAACAACATTTGTCAGATGAGGTGAAATGGAGTTCGCACTAAAGATTATTTCGCTCATATGACGACACGCATGCCTGTGCATGTGTGGCTGCTCGTACTAACCCATACTAACTCTTTCAACACCAGTCAACCAGAGGCATTTACTGCCATGACACCGAGTTCCCAGAGACCCTGAGGTCATAGATGAAGCCTATGTTTATGAAGGAAATTATAAGCTTGTAAAACGTTATTGCTACTACATTCCATACACCATTTAAAAGATCTAATCCTACTGTTGATAAATATGAAGTTTATTTTTATAATATTATTCAAATAATACAACTACAACTTAAATAAATGTATTTTTGAATGAAAATGCAAGCTTACATTTATAACGTCCAGATAAACCATGAAAGAAGCAAAAACTATGGCGATTTTTTTCCATCTGTGACATGTGATAACATGCCCGTGCCTTTTTCTTTTATATTTTTATTTTTACGTCATCAGAAAATTATTATAAAAAGATTTCTTAAATAATATGTATGGTCGCCTATTTCCCGATATCTGTGGCTTTCCGCTCGGTAACATGACATAACAACGGAAAATACCTCCGTTTTCGAAGCTTCGTGTGCATAACATGCGAGGCTTAATCGTTTGATGTCGGGCATCGCTCGAAAGCTCTGAACATCAACAATATCACTGTACCCTTGCCAAGAGTATTTTCACAGTTGTAAGAAGCGATTTTATTGGATAAAGATTGGTTTCTAATGACGCTTTTAAGCCACAGTCTGCTATAAGGGTCGTTGATTGGTCAAAATCAGACACGTTACCTGAGGCAGCCAATCATATTACGGCAATGGATACCGGCCCTCGTAAAACGAAAACCTTCAGATTTAGACAAAAGTTTTGGGTAAAATAATGCTATTCTGAACATATTAAGCAAGAAATCGCTACCTGTACGTAAATTATGGAACTTATTGGACGTATCGTGCTAGGTTATGACCTGTGACAAAAAGGCTTCATGTATATATTTTCGCATTAAACATCGTGTCCGAGCGTGAAGATTGAGGCGGCGAGAGCCGAGATGTCACTCGTCAGTGACTTGACTTGCATTACATGATCGCACAAAAAGATGGAAATAGTAATTTTATATGTCCGTTTGACAATTTTTATGAATGCTGTTGTTGATTTTATTCATTAGTTTATTCAATTTATTTAATGAATTCCTCGAAACATCGTTACTTTGCTCTTTGACAATGTTGTTGTAGACCCGCTGCCGAAGCATGTGTCCGAGAATCGTTGTTTTCAATAACATTGCGAAAAATAGTTTATAATTTTAATTCTGCTGATAATATATGATAAATTGAAATTTAATAAGTGTTTTCAGACATTGTAAAATGTGATAGATTTAATATATGAATCATAAGTCAGGTAGGTTCCTAAAATTATGTCTCATTTTGACGTGACTACTGCCTGGCCGCTTAATCGGCCTCCGGTGTCTGGGGACTCATAACGTTGTGGCCGCTAAAGCGGCCTGCGGTGTTGAAAGGGTTAAGCTGGTTTTATAGCGCTAGCTCACTGAGATGTCATGCCGCAGTGAAGCATGAATACCCCACTCAGACACATTATACGGACTCCCGAGCCGACCAATCCTTGTTGTACAAATTTATGTTGAGCGCCAGTCAGGGACCAACAAGTACCATATTTTTTTGTCTTTTGGTATGACATGGCCAAACCCGGGACCTTCCTCTCTCCCATTTGTCAGAGCGACTGTATGGCTTGATGATGGGACTGATCTATCACTGGACTGACTGACTGAGTTTGGTTTTACGCCGCTTTTAGCAATATTCCAGCAACATCACGGCGGGGGACACCAGAAATGGGCTTCACACATTGTCCCCATGTGGGGATTTGAACTCGGGTCTTCGGCATGACGAGCCAACGCTTTAACCGCTAGGCTACCCTACCACCCCTTCTTATCACTGGAACGTATGGTAGACACTTTACTATTTACATGCCACCATCATCTCGCTGGTATATTTGCTAAGTGTGGCATCAAATACCAAACAAATATTTGTACAAAATACAGATATCCGAGTCGAACAATGTTCTGGATGTAGACAACTGTCCGAGAACGAAGACGCTGAGCCACAGAAGCAGCCACAGATTACATGGATCTGTGTCACCTAGCTTCTGGAACAAAGCCATTACAGTGGAAATGATACTTCAGATGTTCCAGATTTAACATCAAAGTACTGATGTTATGCCACAAAGAAGTACAATCAATACAGCGTGTACTGTGATTCCCCACTGTCACTGTGAATGTGCTTGATCTCCACATCAACATGTCCCCTGGCACTTTACCCTCAAAGACAGGATTCTTCTACTGTTACATTCACGTCAACAGGAATCTAGGTATCTAAAGTCCATAAACTGAGCTCTGCATGCAAGGCCCACATCACATGTTGATGTATATCATGTACCGTATATAACATATCAATATATATCGTGCAGCATGCATGCCACCTTGACATACAGATATTATGTACCCTGAATATTACATTAATATATATCATGCAGCATGCATGCCACCTTGATATACAGATACTATGTACCCTGTATATTACATCAATATATATCATGTATCATATATAACATGTCAATATATATCATGCAGCACGCATGCCACCTTGATATACAGATATTATGTACCCCCGAATATCACATCAACATATATCATGTACCATATAAAACATGATTCTATTTATCAAGTATCATGCATGATGAAATGATATGACATGTATCCTAAGTGATACATCGATATATATAATGTATGATACATACATGTATATATATATATCATGTACCACATATGTCATGTTGATGTTGTGTACCCTGAATGATACATCGATATATATATAATCTACCATACATAATATGTAGATATATTATCATGTACTGCACATGTCATGTTGATGTGTATCCTAAATGATACATCAATATATATCATGTACTGCACGGGACATGTTCATATTGTGTACCCTGAATGATACACATACCTTCTGAATTCATACACATCATGTACCATACTTAACATGAAGATATATATCATGTACCACACAAGACATGTAGACACTGAGTACTATAATGATCTATTGGTATGTTGTACAAGATTAGCCCTGTTTTAGTTGTTTGACTGGACAACTGTGACCTCCTGAGGGTAATGTTTGAACTTTTGTTTCATCCATAAAAGACATGGAGACTTGTTCGAAACAGAAACATCAATCCAAACCCATTCCTCAATCACTCTGTTATATACAATAAAAAGGCCAATTAAATAATGTTTCATAAAAACGGGTATCAAACAAGCATAGAGTAGTATTCCTTATGAACCAAGCACCAAACACACCGACATACATCATCCAAAGATATACCTACATACATTTCTATTTTTTTTATTTTCCATATTTCATGGTACAGGCAAACGTCATAGATAAAGTTCATGATAATACAATGGTATATGTATACATGTATAAAAGTGTACAATTGGCTGAAAATGTACAATTGGCAGGATTATTTTCCAAGTAGTAAATGTAGAGTTGACCAATATTGTAAAAACATTTGCTCAGTTCCCGTTGATAGGTAAACATATCCTGACATATCATAGTGACGGACAATTTCATTTTTTAAATATTCTAAATTTGGTCTGAAACCATTTATGCTGCATCTGTAGATATAGTGTTTGACTACTGAAATTATTTCATTAATAGGATTATTGTTCTTTCCTTTCATTCCCAATATAACAATTTTATTTGTAAGTTCCAGTTGTACCAACATACATGGTACACATTGTAACTTGGACTTCTCACTCTCAGACTGCTTGGCTCCAATTATGGGCATTACAATAGGCTAAGATCCTTCATCATGGAAGAACAATTAGATCTATAAAAGCCAATTTCCCCGTTCCACCATGTAGTAATAGGTTTCAAGATACCATCTTCACATCTGTCTGCCTTGGTCTTTACTGATATAATCTGTTGTCCTAAATTCTGGTTGCCATGGCGAAGAATCTCAGGAATGTATGGGGCTTCAAGAAATAGTAATTGGTATTGTGAAAAAGAAAGACTTATGTGCCACTGAGATCAATAATGACCACCCCTTCCCTGGCACTTGGAGGCATCATTGTCACCCCTGGGTGGACTCATGCTTGCCACAAAAGGCGACTATGCTTGTCGTAAAAGGCGACTAAAGGGATCGGGTGGTCAGACTCGCTGACTTGGTTGACACATGTCATCGGTTCCCAATTGCGCAGATCGATGCTCATGCTGTTGATCACTGGATTGTCTGGTCCATACTTGATTACTTACAGACCGCGGCCATAAAGCTGGAATATTGCTGAGTGCGGTGTAAAACTAAACTCACTCACTCACTCCCTCCCTGGGTGGACCAACTGTTCCAACAGGCCAAACACATCACACATAAATGTCTGTAACCCATCAGGAATAAGTTAGTGAGTTTAGTTTAACGCCGCACTCAGCAGTATTCCAGCCGTCGATGCATTATTCATTACATTCAGTGAAACAAAACGATTCTTTGACATGTTTTGTCCATTTAGACAGTGTTAATTAATCACGACTAGTGATTAATAGAATATATAAGGGTATATTTAACAACCTATTTAACAACCTATTTAACAACCAGCTTGGATAGATTCCATTTTGCATATTTCACTTTGATGAACAACACCAAGTTCAAGAAAAACAAATCCTTTAAAAACAGGCATGATGATTCAAATCTAGTGACAATGGATAACAAATTCAGGAAGGATTCGGGTCAATTCACCGAATATGCAAGTGAATCGTAGCACCCATAATAAATAATGCATCAACTTTGTGAATGAATATTCCTATTCGTTATTCAATATTGCGGATGAAGCATATTAGCATCACTGATGAATATAGTGAACTCACACACATCTGTATTCAATGCCCTCAACCTGGTCACTTTAACTACATTTTGATCTATACTCAGAACCCATAAGAGGTGACCTAACATACAAGTGTAACAGGATTGTTATCAAGTACACATTGCCCCTTGACCTTGCACTGCAGAAATTTCAGATTTCTGCATCCCTGAGATGCAAGGCCACACATTATTGCAGGTAGTCAATAATATCTCAACCGGTTAACAATTTGTCCAAGCTTTTTGAAAACATAATTCAAAACAATATTCCCAATTCAGTACAATAAGGTAACTAGAAAGATTCCATGTCTTGTCAAGTAAGTGTTGTGTAATGTTGCAGCCTGTAGAACTTCATCCATATCATGACAGTCGGTCAATAATCCAATCACGAGCAAGCAAACCAGTCATCAGATTCCACAATTAATGCCAGTGAGGTACGATGACATCTTCGTCACAATGCTTCACTGCCAAATCCATATTTCAGATGGCTCCTTTGACAAACATGTGAAGGATGACTTTTTTTTACTCAACAGTGGAAGAAGGCTTCTTCATCGTCCTAACATTTTCTCAACTCTCTTCTCCACTTTCGATGTGCCCTGACATTTGCCATGCCCTGCTAGGCTATCTTCTCCACTTCAGACACATCCAAGGTTGAGGGGTGAAAACCAGGACATGTAAAACTTTCTCCTCAACTTGAGATGTCTCAGACATCTCAACTTGAGATGTCTCAGACATTTGACATGTCCTGCTTAATGCTCTTCTCCACTTCGGTAGTTCTGACATTTGCAACTGGCCCTGCCTCCTGATCTCACCACAGCCCTGCTCACAACTCAGTCATAGATCTTCATCTGTCCTACCTTCATTTCCCCAACACAGACATACGAGGACAGCCTTGGCACTGTGTTCGCATGTGAAATACGAGTAAACCCTGTAACTGCCTAACAACTGCGTAATAAATACATGTCTTAAAAGAACCACTACGATTGAGTTGTACAGAAATTCTGCATCAGGGTCCAGTTTCACAAAGCAATCTTAGCGCCATGATTGTCGTAACTCTATGTTAAAATATAGGAGATACCAGAGTCGTAGCGATACGATTGCTTTGTGAAACACGGCCCTGGACTAAAAAACACTATTATGATTTAATGATTATGGATTTCATTCATTGTTAATGACTTTATTCCTTGAAAAACAGTTTAATTGGAGAAATGACTTTTACAATACTTCAATCTGATATTAAATAAGATTTTGTCTTTGTTCTTTTATTTTGTCTATCTCATTTTGCAGGTGTTGCCTAGTTACCTGCTGGAGATCCACTTGGAGCATAAATCTATCATCCCTCCATGCATGGAGGAGGCCACAGCTGTACATTGTTTTATATATTGATCACTAAGTACTTGTACAAAGGAATCCAATCTTTTTTCACATCTTTCAATATCAATTTTCACCCTAATTATTGGGATTTCGTGACAGATTGCAAATAATGACACCACAGTACAAACAACCAATATTTACCACATGTAAGTGATTAGAATTAATGTGGGTGGGACAATATTCTAGATTGTACAGAAACACATTTATTACCACTTTATTGGTCCAGTGGAGGTTTCATTCATTTTGGAGAAATCTGAAGCTAGGCTAGCCCTTGATTATGAAATAGAAATAGATTTATCACCAAGAGAGAGCACAATCTAACAAATGTGTTCTAAAGAATAGACTAAGTGCAGGAAACTATGTCATGTGAACCAAGTAAAACATCTCCGTGTAATGGAGGTCATTTTAGAATAATATTATGTATTATGACCTTATTAATGAAAGTTTCAGTGTTTTATTATCAATGATTATTCACTGGCTACCACATAAAAGTACAGTTCAAACTTATTTCCCCTAAATTCACATCAGTACAAGGGACAATGATGATATATTTCACAATGAGTTTTGATGTATTTTTCAACATCCAAAGACACACAGTCCGCTTTTAGCAATATTCCACCAATATAACAGAGGGGACACCAGAATTCTTGTTTAAACAAGCTTTCCTTTAATGTGACCTTTCCGTCCAATTTTTGTGAAAGAAATGCGTAACGAGTCCTTTCAGAGATTAGCGCTATATAAATACTATCCATTATTATTATTATTATTATTATTAATTGGCTTCACACATTGTACCTATTTTGGGGAATCGAACCAGGGTCTTCAGCATGATGAGCAGATGCTTTAACCATTAGGCTACCTCATCGCCCCTTAACCACTGGTACATGTTTTCATTGGGGAATTCCATTGGTGCAATTTTATACTTATATATGATCATGTGTACAATATACAGTGGTTCTATTCCAAATTAATGACAAAACAAGACTGCTGTGTTAAGTAACCAACACCAGCTGCAGTTTCAGGTCATTTTAAATAAACTCTTTCAAAATAGTTTTCAAAATTCCAAACCAATTATCAAAATCAGGTAAAAACACTGAAGCTTACAATGTACCTAATATTCTATGTATTCATTATTAACATAACGAACGTAAGAACAAACAATGCATTGAAAATAACATCTCTGATTACATAGTATTGCTAAAAGCATGGGCTGAATTGGGTAATGACTGGTGTAGGTAGATTAATTTCAACTCTTTTGTATTTTGTAATTATATTGGAAGTGATCACTGGACAAAATATTTGCTATTAAAACAGCAAATGTCATCAGAATTGTGCCACCACTGTAACTTGATAGCTGTCCATATATCCTTTACCAGAGGTAGTTCATTATTCTATTGTCATGTGATATCATTGGTTGCCATACATATCACTGGCGTCATGTTTCTTGGCTCTGACGTCTTCCTTCTAATGGTTAATGACGATGCTATTTCTGAATCACTGACGTGACTTGTGAGGCTGTTAACACAAATTCTAACCACCTCAAAACATATATTATGGAACAAGTTTTCAAGGCATTACGATTTGCAGATTTGTAAGGCAGTTAATGGCAGACCAGAGGATTCCTGCAAATGAGTGAAAAATAATGTTCCTTTATAAAAGCTATCAGCTGTACAAAATAGCTATGCTTATTGTCAGTATTACTTTAAATATATATAGTAAATGCTGCAAACACGATATTGGAAATTAATATAAATACCCGGTAATAAAATAAAATCTGCAGATACTATTTCTTCCTTAGGATTGAATCTAAATTCTTTATTTTCTCATTTTTTACCTAAATGATCTGTGGTAGATCTGCTCTGAAATAATGACTAGCAGAACAGGAATTACAGTTTAAATTGTAAATTTTTATGTTTTCGTTTTGTCTCAAATTTCACACTTTATTTGGCCAAGTATATCACGTTTTGGTTTACCTGAATTAGCTGAAGAGATACAATGTAGTAATCTATTTTACTAATAAACTATTTTTAAAAAACCTGTCCTTTTGACAGGTTGTGCAATAAGCTTGTTCTTCCTCTACAATCTACTGAAGTTTTATTCAAAATATCTTATCATTCTATTGTAATCAATTATATGAAAACAAATTCATCCATCGATGCCAGCAAACCTACCATAACATGTGGATGGAGCCCTGTAAGTAAGGATGCAGTCCCAACACTGTCTGGCCACTATAGATGTATGGACATGATTAATATAGAATCTGTGAAACACTCAAATATGTATTATCCTCTTAAACGTGTATAACCCCTCGAACATGTATACCCTTAACAAATATGTGTGATCCTCTCATCTCATATGCATAGTCCTCTCAAATCTTGAGCCTTGAGTAACTAGTTGAGTCTTGAGTAATATCTATCAAAAACACATACGCTTCTCACAAGTGTGATTAATCTGAGGTGCGCATATTCTGAAAATTAAAACTTATACCCAGCTTACGATCATAAACGTTTTTGTACACTGTGAAGAGCCTAGACAAACACTCCCAAAACACAATGCTCCAGGCAGGTATAAACGATGAATTCCCACACCAGGAAGTGCCAAAGCAGATCAGGTGTTGCCAATCAAAACCCCTCTTCTACGTACATACACACCAGGTCCTGATCAACAAGGAAGCAAAGTCAACCAGATATAAAAACGCCACTTGCGCAATCAGCTTGAAAGAATTTGTTCTCTAAGCACTCAACCTCAAGAAAACACTCTGGTTGACAATAAAAGGCAAGTCTCCCGCTATGACAGTCACTGAAAGGCAAATTGAACACTCCGTGATCCATGAACGCGTTCCACTACATGAAAGAAGAATCTACACACATGAAACATAACAACAGAGCAAAATAATTGCTACATATGGACAAATTGAAGCAAAATTAATTCAAATAAATCTTTTAGAAAAGGGGGTTAACAACAGAGGACGAAAAACGTCACTTATTTAACTGTGCCATTTACATTATACACAACAAAGAGAACTGGCCCTCAAATTTTAAAATGAATATTCATCATTATAACAAAACAACTTTGATATGCTGGTGACTTAGAAGCCGACTTTACTCTGCAACTAGCCCTTACTACAACTCAGTAGCAATATAGGTCATGAGCAATCAACAACAGGGGAAGGCTCAGTGTCAGAGACATGACAGCTGTCAAGATGATCATCACAACCATTTTCAAGTCCAACACAGGCAGGTTCAGCTGTATTGATGACTACTGGATTGGGTGGCTGCAATCATCCAATCATAACACATTTTTCATGGACACTAAGACAGACAAAATACAGTTATTTTGCGACAATCGTGGCAATGTAGAACTGTCCTTTTTAGTGGGTATTAGACTTAACCTGTCACAGCAATCATGGAGACGGTGGAAAAACAACAGTACGGCAAGGGTAATATGAAATCTCAGAATAAACTGTTCTACAGTGTCAAACAGTCAGGATATATAATACGATGAATATAAACATCAGCGAAAAGATTTGTCTAAAATTACAGATAGTGTTGGGAATCGGAAACCAAATCCACTATCGATTATCGGAGGACTTGTGGTGAACATTTTTAATGTAATTCCAAATTTTAAGGGCTTTTCCCCAGTTTTTTTCTAATTAATGTTTTTTATAACTAATACTGTCATGCAATGAAATGCACGCATGCAAGAAAGACACTGGAATTGTAATTAAACAATAAAAGTGGTTAAAATTTTACAAAGCGCACGCTTTACGCTTTTGAGTGCATGTTTGTTCCTGAATATTCGTCAAATTTAATGGTTAGTTTACTTCATTCAAGTGTGTTTTACTAAAAGTTAAAAACAACAAAATTCTGATTAATCGAAAATAAAACTACAGGATGGTGACTTGTATCTGTTGAATTCAGTCTGTAACTGACAGCGGTGTCATTACATGCTGACTGGGAACACAACACAACACTATCATTTCATGGCTGGGCCGACTTTAGGAACTCTTTGATTACTTGCCTCCTCCTCACCATAGTTTCCTTGATATCCAAGAGCTCTGTAATTAGTGGTGTTCTGATGATTGAAAATAATCAAAATCGATGGAAAGAATTATTAAAAATGATTATTGATTGTAAAAAACATAATTTGGCCTGAGTGGGATTAAGGTTCAACTTCAAGACAATGCTTGTGTCCACGCCTAATGATTCATGTGACTGTCTTTGCAAATTAATGTTGGCGGACCAAAGAGTTTTGAAAAAAGAAATTTTTTAAATATTCCAGAAAAAACTGTTGAATTAATAGCCCTTTTAACCAAAGATAGTACTACCTGGAGAGAGAATCTCCAGGAGGGGAAAAAGTATATCCTATTACAGCATGAGATATCCTGCAGCTTCACCCAAGTGTTCAAATTATTGTTCTGATTCATTCATTATTGACACAATTTACTACTCATTTACACTCTGTAGTGATAGTTTTCTTTAGTATTTCATGGCATGTATTTCCGTGCAAGCAAATAAATATCAACTGGGCGAAAGTGATTTAGTCTGTATATATTATGTAAATTAGCAGTTCCACTTATTCAAAGAAAGGCGAAAGTTTTTGTCATACACCAAAGTGGCGACCACATACCCACGTCAAACATAGACAATCTCATAACAAGTGTGGACCGTTGCAACAGCCAGTGTGGACTGTGAAATGTCAGTGTTAAATAGTGTTGAAAATTGGTTAATATCTCATAAGTGATGATTAGTTCATTAAAACCGATCAATCATCGAAAATAATTGGTTAGCCTCATTTATGAAATTTGTTAAGGCAAAAAAAAAATAATGAAAGAAAACATGTAGTTGTTGGGGGGGGGGAAGAGAAACGACAAAATTTCACATCTTTAAGGGATGTCTAGTATGTTAGGAACATAAATTTCCTGGAGTCTTTAAGATAAATTCAATCCTGACTTGGAACGAGCTTGTAGTGGTCATGAAATGTAACAGACAAAACCAACCATGTGAACAATATTGTTAATGCAAACAAGTGTTCCAGGATTGTTTGTGTTCGATTATGACAAAACATGACCGATTGCTTGGTTGTTTAGTCATTGCGACCAATCTTCGATTATTTCAATTAATCGGACCACCACTAGTGTTAGAGACTGTCATCATTCTATTACTGTCAGAATGAGTGAGTTCTGTATACCTATTCTGGCAATATTCATGCAATATCACAATGGTCAGAACCAGACACCAGGAATGGTCTTCACGTACTGTATCCATGGAAGGAACTGATCTTCCATGACAACAAACACTTCCAACACACTGGAAATGGGCTTACAGTTGCTGACTCTTATCAGTCCCTTATGATCAGAATAAGTGAGTTAGGTTTTATGCCTCTTTGGGCAGAAGCCGAACTTCCACAGCGCCACACACAGCTATAGCGCTAAATTCCATACACCAAGTGCATGCTCGAAGCGCATACAAACAGACAGTTCATTATTACCCCGGATAACCCAAGCTGCCTGTGAGGCGCTATAAGATTATAGTCACATGACTTATCCCACTGGGTACCCATTTTCTGCTGGGTCAATAGAGGCAATTTTGAACAAACTGACTTGCCTAAGGTGAGACCACATGTATCACATGTGCTTCGTTGTGGGGCAGGATTGAAGTCCTTGAAACTCTCAGGAGTCAAGCTGCCGAACCCATTCGTATTTAGTGAATTATTGTATCTTGAAATCGTGACCTTTGTGTGCTTGTTACTGCATGTACTACAGTGTGTCTACTGGCCTGAAATTGTAATTTGGCAATATTTTCAAATACTAGTCGAGGTATATGGACTAGTTTCAGCTTATCTTCCTGGAACATAACAAAATTGCTGCAATGAATCTACTTAAGAGGCGAATCCAATACATATCATCATATCACGAATATTGGGTAATGAATACGAATATTGAATACAATAACAATCAGCAGTCATGAAATAATAAAAGAAATAAGATATTATCTGACATATTTCGACCACCCTAACAATGTAAATGTATAACTACAATGACCAATACTCAGTGTTCAGACTGCTATCCTGCCTGGTTAGATGGATTTCATTTTGCAGATCTCATTTTGATAACCAACACCGAAATTCAAGTAGAAACATTTCTTTTAAAACACTCATGAATATTCTATTCTAATGATGCCAATAGCCAAATGTATTTCAAGAATGGATACAGTTCAATTCACCTAACGCGCGTGAATCAACTGCCTATTTGAAAAGGGCTTTGCATTAGTGAATATGTCAAAGGCGGGTAGTGCAGGTAAAAGAATTTGCTGGATTTCAAAACACATTTGTACAGACGCTGACTCAGAAGAGAAACCTAAAGTCACTTCAGTATTTCCAAAACATTGTGGTCAATTATTATAATGCTGAAATTTGTTGACCGAAAAACAGGAAAATAACCAGTAATTCTTCCTGACAGAGCCACAAAGCATAAGTAGGATTGTGATTCCTGACAATTTTCGGAATAGTCCTCTGTCTGTTTGGGTATAAATATAGTGTATTTGTCTGGTGTCTCAGCTTGCTGTGGCCTGAGTGCCTGCAGCAGTGGTGTGGGGTTACGGATTCTAGTAATCATATCCATCTGTCAACTCAGGCTTATTCCAAGGCAGGAGTGTCCCAGACAAATTAGGGTCAGTCTCCGCTTGTTGCATCACATCCATGCTGCAAAACAGCTGGAGATGAAGCCAGACTCCAGTTTTCTACTCTGCCGTGCTAAGAGAACAAACTTCAACCTGTTCTTACATTACAAAGAAATAACAAATTGACCTAACAATTGTTTGCTTGTTTAAAACTACGCCAGCAATTCTAGCTACCTGCAAACTATATCAGACAATAAAGTGATCAATGTCATGAGCATCAATCTATACAATTTGGACACAAATACAAGCGCAACAACTAATCCTGCTTGTCGCTTCTTACAAAAACTATGAGATGCAGTTACCATGAATAAGGTATGCATAATTGGTGATTTGAGTTGGGTGTCATGAATATAATGCAGCCTAGTGTGGCAAGTTATCATGACGGAAAACTCACTACAAACCTGACAAACCAACCATAATGGATCAAATCTGGGATTCAAACCCATGATTACACCAAGGTGTACTTCACGACACAAGGGACAACTGTAAAAAATTATGTTATCTTGTTACAACCATGGTCATGCCATCTAGCTACAACCATGGATATGAAATCTGGTTACAACCATGGACATACCCTCTAGCTACAACCATGGACATGCCATCTACTTACAACCATGGATATGAGATCTGGTTAAACCATGGACATGCCATCTAGCTACAACCATGGACATGCCATCTAGTAGTCTGTCTCACAGTCCCTGAACAACATTATTTTCCCTACTGCCTAGCCCTCTCTGCAGTGCTAAAGCCCTAAATAAAGCAAGTCTAGATTTCCTCAGGTTCAGGATCTCTGGTCTCCCTAGGGCTCCTTTTCAATATAAATGGGCTTGTTTGTTACTATCAAAATTATATATATTCAGAGACTAAGCCTTAGTCTAGCCATCTAGCTACAACCACAGATGCACTATCCACAGTAGTCTGTCTCACAGTCCCTGAACCACATTAATTTCCCTACTGCCAAGCCCTCTCTGCAGTGCTAAAGCCCTAAATAAAGCAAGTCTAGATTTCCTCAGGTTCAGGATCTCTGGTCTCCCTAGGGCTCCTTTTCAATATAAATGGGCTTGTTTGTTACTATCAAAATTATATATATTCAGAGACTAAGCCTTAGTCTATATCCACAGCAATGCATTTCCCTATCACAGGCTATTTATTACAGTCAACTGTAACCAGCTTTAGAGACGTGAGAAATGATACAGGATATAAACCTGGCACTCCCAATAAAACACACTCAAGTATGAAAGAATATGTTGGCTTAACATGTCTCATAACGGTTTCATGCCTATGTACCATTGCTTAGAATACAACATTATCAGATATATTATCAGATCATGCCAATCCCAAAAATTGCTTTTGTCCATTCATCACTATCAGCAGAGAATTGTTGATAATGAGAAACCTGACCAACACAAACAATCCCTTCCGATAACAAGCTCTTTCCTAACCATGATAACAATGATCACCACTGCTCAAGTTGGTCCATTAAACAATCTCCTTTGTAAGCTCAGCATTATAATAATGACTGCTAAACATGCTAAAAGCCCTCTAAGCTGGTTAAGTCTCTGTGGCAAGATTTCTCCATGCATTCCCCACAGCTGTTCTCAAGAGCTATCATGTTGCAGTTTGGGCATAAATCAATGTGACAATCTGTGGACTGCTATATTCCTGCACATCAGAGCTGGAGGAAAATACATGTTGGGCAACACAGGGATTATGTCTATTCATGGCTCACAGATCCTATCTGTATTACATCAGAAGGGTTAAACAAGAACCTGCCTAAGGTCTGCAGCAAACAAGTCTGTCTACCTGGTGAACATGTCCTGAGGAGTGTCCACCAGATGTTAACATATACAGAAGTTTACCTGAGTATACAAAAATAAATTACTAGATTTCTGACAAACAGACTTGTAAGCATCATGATTTCACTGAGTGAGTGAATTTAGTTTTACACCACACTCATCAATATTCCAGCTATATGGCGTCAGTCTGTAAATAATCCAGTCTGGACAAGACAATCCAGTGATCAACAGCATGCACATCGATCTACACAACTGGTATATGATGACATTCGCCAACCAAGTCAGCGAGCCTGATCCCGTTAGTAGCCTCTTACAAGCATGGGTTACTGAAGATCAATTCTAACCTGGATCTTCACAGGTAGATTTCACTAAGTGGAACATTAATGAAAACTTACTTCAAGTAAAAGTAAAGCTTTTCTCCCAAATTAACCAGATAGCTGTGGTATAACTGAAGTGCCATTTTAAGTGAGGTAAAACCTACCTCCCTCAGACAACATACCTAAAAAACTATACTCTATTCTAATTCACATAGCCTGGCAATATGTACTATTGATCACAATGGTCCATAGTCACCAAGAATTCACCAGGATTCTCACTCATGCCAGCACTCTGCACTCATACTATCACACATCGGAAATAAAGGTGGAGAATATTTAACTCCCACAACGAATACATTGAGACCCAAACAAACAGATGATATTGTTGGGAAAACAAAATATCCTGGTAATATTTCACAAAATCCCAAGGTGACAGATGAAAGCATGCATGCAAATCTTCCTGAAACTGAATATGATTTGAAAGGTTTAAGGTACAACCTTTGAGCCTCACAAATAATCTCCATGCTTAAAGAGCAAGAACCTTGTTGACCGTGACGTAAGTCCTCAACAAAATAAATATATTCTAGCGCTAAAGATAATTTATCTACAAATATTTATCTATGTATTTAATGAGCGGTCTCCCCTTGGCAGTGTTGCTGCTACTGTGCCTCCCGTTGTTGACTCAGACAAATCTCGGCAAGTGACAAACACACGCCATAATTGCCCCAACTGCAGAGAGTTTGGCAGTAAACATTTCAACCATGGCCTCTGCACTCTTAAACAAACGTGTAAGTTTGGAACTAAGTGCAGTGGGAGACAGTGGCTTGCAATCGCCAAACATACAGACAATGGTGCTATTGTTGCCAGAATGACCCTGAGTCTAGCACCATGTGACACACGTCAGACCAGCCTGCATTCAAACATGAAAATGTTTCTGAAATGATTACATCTCATCTTGCATCACCATGATATGATCACAGCTGTGGGTTTTGCGAGTCAGTGAGTTTAGTTTTACGCTGCACTCAGCAATATTCCAGCTATATGGGGACGGTCTGTAAATAATCGAGTCTGGACCAGACAATCCAGTGATCAACTGCATGAGCATCAATCTGCGCAATTGGGAACCGATGACATGTCAACCAAGTCAGCGAGCCTGAGCCCCCGATCCCATTAGTCGCCTCTTACGACAACCATGGGTTACTGAAGATCAATTCTAACCCGGATCTTCACGGGTACTCTGGGTTTTGTGAAAGTGTGTCATGTCCACATTGAAATCATGTTCAGGGGGTCAGGCCAAACTAACACTTACTGACTTAGTCTCTGAATATATATCCAATTTTGATAGTATTAATAAACCCATTTAAATTGAAAAGGAGCCCCAGTCAGATGGGAATTCAGAACCTGAGGGAATCTAGACTTGCTTCATCTAGGGCTGTAGCATTGCAGGGAGGGCTAAGCAGTACGGAAAATAATGTGGTTCAGGGACTGTGAGACAGACTAGGGTCAGAAGAAATGTTAAAGTTAAACATACGAAATTTCATGAAAAACTGCTTGCATTTCAGAACAAGGCCCCGTTCCTCAAAGAGATCGTAGCGCTACGACAGTCGTAAGTCTATGTTAAAGTATGGGAGTTACGACTGTCGTAGCACTACGATCGCTTTAAGGAATGGGGCCCTGGACACATTGAAGACTATGATACTGACATCAATTTGAAGGATTAATG